GCTTTAATATTGTCACATTTTGAAACTATGCCTCTTAATACAAATTGCATTTAAAGATGTTGCCAGTATTTTACTCTAAAAGGAGTGTTAACTTCAAAGAAAATTTTTTCCAGTTTAAAAATATCATATCATCCTTGTAAATTGTCTCCCTGCTTTCTTCCATGAAGTGTTCATATGTGTACATAATCATACATATTTTTATTTGCATTAAACGCAACAGTAAGTCTACTCTGTCAAAGTATCAAAAAGGCATACAAGTTTATTTTTATTGGAAAAATTGTTTCTTTAATACTTAACTATTTGTCCAAACTTCTTTTGGTTATAGGATTTGCTAAAATTTAATGTGGTGAGCTCTCTTTCAAACCTTCCCTATTTCTTAACATGGTCAATTTGGGTCAGAAACAATTATGTAAAGAGTAAGAAAATCATACGAGAAGTAAGTTATTCATTTTGTTCTGGAAAGACTGCTCCATTGATAGGAACATGTGCTTACAGGCAAAAGTCTAGTTTGAGAGCAAAACATGATTTATTTTTTTACAAACAGCCTGCATGTTCTGTTCATCAATACATGTCCTTACATGTGGAAGCCTTTTCCGCATGGTGCACTGCTCTGCTCTGGGGGCTCTTTGAAAGCAAGCCTTTCAACTTTATGCCCCACAGATCCCTGAAGTGTCTGGGAACTAACCCTTTGCTTTTGCCAGAGGTTTGAAAATGGAATGCTTTGGGGCTGCACAACATTCCTGGGCAATTCATTACAGGACAAAGAAATGTCTAGTGTTAGGCAGACAAGCAACTAATGATCCTTCATTTTGTCCAGAAAACATCAAGATCGATATGTAGGACATGCAACATTTATGGAACGCTGTGTTTTCTTTTCCCTCTAGGGGAGGGAGAAAACACTGGATGATTTCTTTCTGCTGATGGCTACAATACTCAAATGATTGACACTGGTTAGCACATGCCTTTGGCCTCTCCTGCCCATCTGCTAGTAGCAACATTCATGCCTAATGTTTATTAACCTCCTCGATGCTAGTATTCAATAATTTGACTTCGGGCATGTATATCTAGCTTCATTGAGCAGGAGATAACACTATAATCTAGAGTAAACAGAGATAGTTCTGGGATTAGCTAATAGGCCTTAATGGTCCATATTCCATTATGGAAATGGTCCATATTCATTAAAATAGACCTTTATGAATAAAAAAGGGAAGTTCAGAGAGAGAACGAATGATCTAAAAGAAGAGATCTACAAAGTTCCCTTCCAATTCATACAATCTGGCAGGAATTAGAACCCAATATCAACATGAAATCATATTTAATGAGCAAATTATTTGTCCAATGACACCAATAGAAATGGGGCAACAACATAAAATGTGGTCAGTGTTGCAAGCCTTTGTAAATATCCTCAACTATGATGTTTTTAGAATTTTAAATTCGGACCGATTTCAAAGTTTAAGGTTAAAGTATATTTTTAAAAATTGTTCTTTTATAGAAATGTCATAGTAGGAAATTTGGAAACTAAATGATCACATCAGGACAATAATGAGCTTTGCCTCTCTTTTAAAAGTAATCTTTATTGTCAAGAGTGACAGAAATTGAAATGGTACCATATTTGGCCAACCACATTCACACTTCCCTAAGTTATTCCAAAATAGAGAAGTAAGCAATGTTAATATGAAACTAAATGCTCTGTACTTGATTAAAGTAAGATTAAAAGCAGGGAATGAGAAGAAGATGTTTGATTTACTATTTAATCTCTCAGTAGCTCCCGTAGGGCTGGGGAGCTCAGATCATTATTGGATCAGTGCAGTTTCCTCATCAGCATGACCCTAAACCAACACATTAAAATCATCGATATGCCATTCTATGAAATCACAGCCTTCCAAATTAAAAATGCCAAATCTTCATAATGTGGAACATGGAGATTTTTCAAATGTTTTGAATTCTATTTTAGTTGTCCATAGATCTGACTAATTACAGTTGCTTTTAATCAGTGCATTCACAAGCCAGAAGATTCCTTAGAGTATTGAAATGTTTTAGAATATTCATCAATACTTGATAGTATTAAAGAAGTTTAGAAGGTTGATCATTTAAAAAAATCATAATATCTGAAGTCAGGGCTTACAGTAATATGCTGCACTCTGTCTTAAAGATGGAATAGAATGTTGGATTAAGATATGATTTTTAAAAGTAAGATTTCAGCTAACCCCAAGAAATAAACAGTGAGGACCGATAAAGGCAGATAGCATACACCCAAATTTTATTATGCTAGTCATGACTTAGTGGTGATACCCAATGAGAACATATTATTCAGCTTTCAAAATATCTTGCATTACACCCTCTTTTATTTTTATACCCCATCAAGTTTAAGTATCAAAGATTAAATATCTTCAGTTAGCATTTGAAGCCTTTATTAAACTCTATTTAACTTCCAGAGTAACATATAAGTAAGAAAATTCAAGTCCTGATGATGATCGATATTACATACTAAGCTCTATTATGCTGAGTGCAAATCTCAGAAGCATTCAGTTATCTCAGTTAAGAGTTTTATAACCAGCATAATTATTTTGGCTTTCTTACTCCCACTAGATAAGAATGAGAATCTCATAACCAAGTTCTTGCTATTCACAATGTTTCCATTGGGTGTAGCTATGATATTAGATAGGTTAATATCATAGCTTGCATAGTCTGGAAGGATGCCCAGACAGTTGGGGATTTGGAGTGACTTTCTTTGTCTTCGGCATTAAATTGTGCTAGTCAGTGGTGTGTTCTATGGGGAAAACCACATAAAATACTTTGAAATCAATCAGGGCAAGAAAGATTTCAATATGTCCTCTTATAAAAAAAGAAGAAATCTGAAACATTGAAACCTGTGCTAAAACTTGAATCAACGAAAATTTCTATGCAGTTTCCTCACTTTGGAATTGTTCACATTAACAACATATTTATAACTAGTTTGAATGCCTTCTATATATGTATATGTAAATAGTTAGGGACCTGCTGGGCAACGTGGGATAAATAAAGGGATAATCCACTAACAATGCAACTCCATTATTCAATGGTGGGTCTGAGTAAAGTGTCTTAAAATGTCTGTTTGTGCTAAAAAAAAAAAAAAAAAGCATTTCTCTGAAAATGCGAGGGCAGCTTCCATGCTGAGATGAAAACTGCTAACTCGTTTTTTAACAACACCATATGTCTCCAATTGGATCATAATGCAGTCAGTTCTCCAGGGAACGTTACACATGGAAGCTAACCAAATCAAGACACAGTCTTCACTGTATGTCGGCTCCCTGATTAGCTAGTGATTGGCTATTTTGGGTTTTCCAGATCATGCAAGTTTTAGTCTGAAGGGTCTTTCTGCAGCCCCAATATCTTCCCCAAACCAAGCCAGTCACAAAAGGACTCCTAGCTTTTCACAGGTTTTTTTGTTTTTGTTTTGTTTGTTTGGTTTGGTTTTTAGAGATGTCTCTACGTTGCCCAGGATGGAGTGCAGTGTCTGTTCACAGGCATGATCATTGCTTTCTGTACCCTCCAGTTTCTGAGTTCAAGCAGTCCTCCTGTCTCAGTCATCTGAGTAGGTAGGACTACAGACATGCCCTACCACACCCAGCTTAGATGTCTCCATATAACCTTAACATATTTTAAGAAACTACAATGCCTAAACCCTGAACTCTCTAGTGGATTTTAAATAGTATCTGCATTATATAGTAAACATTATTGAAACCTAGCTTTAAAAGAACAAAGATAAATACTGTAAGACTTAGGAAGTCACCTTTTATCCCCCTGAGAATAATCATAAACAAAAGATCAATAAATAAACCAACATTTATTACTCAGATAGTTCTTTATTCATTATAATTTCCCTTAGTTTAGTATTTCATTCAATCTTTAATTTTTTTTATTAAATGAGTACGATACATTTAAATATTTAGGCCCAAAGAGATGGCTCACACTCATAATCTTAACACTTTGGGAGGCTGAGGTAGGAGGATCACTTGAGGCTAGGAGTTCAATACTAGACTAAGGAAGAGTAAGGCCTTGTCTCTATTAAAAAATTGGCTGGGCATGGTGGAACCTGCCTGTAGACCTACCTACTCCGGGCACTGAGGCAGGAAGATTACATGAACCCAGCAGTCTGAGGTTACAGGGAGCTATGATGACTCCACTGCACTCTAGCCCAGGCAACAGAGTGACCCTGTCTCAAAAAATAAATAATAAAATAAAATAAATTTACAAATCTATTACTAAACACCTGCCACATGTACTACTGCAAGTTTAATATCAAGGTGAGGCATTTTTAGCCCTAATATACATGATTCTTTCTGTTTATGTAATTCTTTAATATTAAATGTAATTCTTTATTATAAAAGTTATATGACCTTATGATGTGTGTAAAACTAAGAATTTTGCCTTGGTAAATGTGAAATGTCCTAGGATAGTCTAAAGTTTCTGACATTCCCTCTGATGAATGGAGAAAATTTTTTAAAAAATTTCAATATGCTAGTAACTGATAATTTCATAAAATATAAAATTATGTCCTCAGATTAGATGACAGTTGACATTGCTATAAAATTTTCTAAATGCTTACCCTTACTTTCAACATTTTTCTTGTGACAGACTGGTAAGAAACCTCTGTGGCCTGGCATCAACCTACAGAATCCACTGTGAATATCACTGCATTGGTATTTTATAACTTAGAAATCAAGATTTCTATATTAATGATAAGAGTCATTAACTTCTTTCACTTCAAGTGCATCATTCTTTGCAATGGTTTTCATCTAGTCCACTTATGGGAATTAACAGCGGAGATTTAAGAAGACCAAGAAAGAATCACCAAAAGCTTTTGAAAAAGATGAGTTGCTACACAATATATTGTTAAAAAAATGTATGAAAGCGACCTTTTTTCCCGATAACCATCCATGAGCTTTATGCCGTAGTCATTCTAATAACAGCAATAAGCCAAGGTACTATTTAGTAATTTACTTGGTAATATTTCTTACCTGGGATGCCTGGTGGTGTTTTCAGGTATTTTCCATTAAAATGTTGAATTACCACTTCACATTTTTCAGTAGACTCCATTCTATAAAAGAAAGTAAATAGGCGATCATATACTTCATTGAGTTGTGCATATCCAAGAAAAAGAAACAAAAAAGAAAAGTGAACAGGAAGGCGATGGGAAAGGTTAATTTGAGAAATTAAGCTTACTGCATCAACTGTTGCAATGACTACAAGGGCCAGATTGATAGCAAAAAGTCACAAACACATCATTGCTAAGAAGTATCTTTCACTCTGTGAAAAGTTGCCTTGTGGATGTTTCCATACTCAGTCCTCATTCAGAGGTAATCCTGAGGCATTATTTTACTTAATTAATGATATCTGGCAATTGACAGTGTTTAGTAGAGACTAAGGGTGGTGCCTGGCACCTGTAATCCTTGCATTCTGGGAGGCCGAGGTAGAAGGATCCCTTGCAGTCAGGAGTTCGAGGTCAGCTTGGGTAACAGTGAGACCCATTTCTTTAAAACAAATGTAAAAAAGGAAAGTACTCAATAAATGTCTGTTGAATGACTTAATTAGCAAACCTAAAAGGTAGGTGGTATTTTTGCTCTTCATATCAATAAGGGCACTGAGGCTTACAGAGATAAACTACCTTTCCAATAAATGGTAGAGTTGTGCTTTGAACTGATGAGAGTGAACATCTATCTAGCACTAACACCTGTACTGAAACTAAATAAGAATTATTGCTGAGGGATTCTACAAAGTGAGAGAGGAGATGGGTTTCATTTAAATGGCTCACAGGCTACAGGAGTGATTAGTACAGTACAGTGGTCATCAACATCATGGCATTTTTTTGAAAACCCATTGGATGAAATAAAGCCAAAGAGAGTCATTTGGGGTCCTAAATGTTGAAGAATGATATAAATACATAGCCCTCGGGTCAGATGTATTCTTAATTTAGATTTTGGACAATCTCCTATTGTTTTTCATACTAGATATTAATATTCCTAAATTGGAATTCTTGTGCCAAAGTTGGCACCTCACATATAATTTTAAGAATGAATATTTTGAGCCATACCATCATAATATCAATTCTAGAAGTATTAGTATTTGCAGCATTTTCTAAATAATAAATTACATTTGAACTTTACTATTTTATAACATTGGGTGGGAAAAATAAAAATTAAAGGGTTGATTCTGATTGAAAGAAATTAAGTCCCACCAAGAGGACAAAGGCAAAAATGAATTCAAGCAACCACATACATGCACATGAAAGAATGTATATAAAATGGGTGAAATCTGTTCCAAAAGGCAAAGTATAATTTCATTTTCTGCCATGTTATTAATATGAGCTTGCTTGGAATGTAGCCCATCAGTGCAAGATATAAAACTTTCCTACATCTAAATGGTATATGTATGTTCAGGAGCACATTAAATGACCATGTTACATGTATAGGAAATAAGATAAGGAAAAATATGTTAACAAATATCAAATAAGTCATATATATTTACCATTGCTATAGGAATTCAAAGATGAGGGGAATCCTAGCAGCCAGGGAAGGGCTAAGAGGCAAAAAAGGCAGGAATGGCCCGGGGAGAAGTAATTAGTGTGTGGCTAGCTGGGGAGGTGAGGAGGACCTGGGTGATGGACAATAGTGGGGTGCGGGGAGCAGACCACATGGCTCAGTGCTGGGCTCACCCAGGATACTCAGGAATAACCTGGGAGATGTAGATAGGACAGCTGTCATCACCTGGTTAACAAGTTTGAAGATGCCATCAGCAGCCAGTCCCACTGAGGAGCTGTACTGATGTCCTGACAAATTCTTAACTTTGTTTTTGGATGTGAGTTTCCAGGAAGCATGGAGATGAATCTTTCTGTACTGACAGAGACTTCTCACCCCCCAAGACTACCATGCGCATGTTCTGCCCTAAGGACCCCCCTGCACGTGGTTCTGTTGCCCCTCTCTCAAACTTCTTAATAATTTTTTTAACCAAGGGACCTGTATTGTTATCTTTTTCTGGATCCCATAATTACGTAGCTGATCCTGCTGTGCCCAGAAAGTACAAAAAAGTTATATAACATTAATAGTTCAGTATTGATTTCATCAGACAAACCAAAAGATGGACATAAGTCTCATTTTGAAAAAAAAGTCTTACAAATAAATGAATTGGAGTCTAAATGAAAGATAAAGCAACTTTGCACTTCCTAATATATAATATGCATAAATAAAAATAAAAACAAGATATGTTCAGTAATTAATCATAAATTCTCCTAAATCAGAAGATGTTTGGATAAGAAAACTAGGATGAATTTTTATCTATTCTAAATATTTAGCAACAGTTAAGTATAATTTTCCTAACTCTTTCACATTTTCTTTCCAGTAGAACCTTTTACCATAAGTCTTAATTTTTTTTTTTTTTTTAAGGAGGAAACTTCCATTTCTAGGAACAAAAGAATTCTAACTCTGCTTTCTCTCTTCCCATAGGATCTACCGTCGTCTCTGAGGGAAAATAACCTTCCCTCGTAACAGAGACATGAATGGGAGAGGAAATGTAAGCCCTTAATTACTACAGATGTTACTTTATGGAATTTTTTATTCTAGGAGAGCTACAGAATGAAAACGTTATGCCCCAGAGCCCCTTCCTGTTCAAAACCTCTCCGGGTACTCATCCAGATAAAAGGCAGTTAAGAATCTAAAGCTTGCTGGCAAGAGTTCTACACATCAAATCCTTTCTCTTTGTCTTAAAATGCCGTGGAATTCTAAAGGAAGAGGAAAACTAGATGGGGCTAAGTATATACGTGCGCTGGTTGATTCTACATGATGTATTTTAGGGAATGGAGAAGCAGCAAAAAAAGAAAATCAGGTGGTTAACCCACTCCGCCCACTTAAAATATTTTTGTCCTTGTAGAAAGCTTCACGTCTTCCTGCTGGAGTTTAGGTATGATCGTCGTCTTTCCCTAACACCGTTTTACAGCCCTATCAAGCCGGATGGGGGCTGATTCTACGATCACAAAGACAGCAGCACGGATTGTTCACTTTGGGTTCATTCAGATTTAACTAAGTGAACGTCTGCTGTGAGCCTTTAGAGACTCCCCTCTGAAAGAATAAATGCAATAAAAGTCTGTTTTCTGTAGCTGCCGGCGCTTAGTGTCAAACCGTGTTATGCTGCACCACCCAGCAGTGACAATTTCATTTTAATACACGGGACACATTTTATCAAGGCAAAGCAGTCCCAGCGAAGACAGCAATATAGGAGCTGCCAAGGGGAAAAGCTCAGTGTTCCTCATGCATTTTATGTGGAGACAGAACAAAAGTGAGGCCCAGAAAGCTCTGGGGGGAGTGGGGCTGTATGTGAATAGCCATCTTAGGAAGAATGTGCCCATTTTCTTCTCAAGTTTCACAATTAACTGCTCTGAAATGCCAGCTCCAACTATCTAAAATCTGGCACACGCTTCACTTGAAACTGACACTAGCATTATCAAGTGAGTCTGAAAAGACAGCATACCAGACACAGCTGCCTTTATATGTCCCTTTCAGACGGGCCACTGAATCACTAAACTGCATCTATTCTTCCCAGGTGGTACCTGAACCCCCTGGCGTCTCTCAGAACAGCTCAAGTGCCAGGCCAACCATTCAGCTGACAATACATTAATTAGGTTCTTACAAGGCTCCAATCATTGTATAAAACTTCAGGGTTTTCTGTCAGGTCTGATGTTTAAATATAAATACACATTAAAGGTCCTGTTTGACATTCTTTCTTGTCTCTGTGCCTAGGCCTGGCTTTAGTCATCTGAACCACACCACAGAATTCCACTGTTGCTTCTGCTGCTGCTGCTGCTTCTCTTAACAACAGCTACGAAGAGGAGCTAGTTTCACAGTCAATACAATTTCCACAGGCAAATGAGAGCCTGATCCTGTATGGGTAGAATATTCTGGGTTAGACTCAAAACGCAAAGGTAGAAATGTGCTTTGCAAAGCCTTCTGCAGCCTATCGGTCTCACCTCCATAGAGAATCTCACAGGTTGTGACCTCAAAGCAAGAACCATGATTAACCATGTCCTTAAAACAAATCCACCATATCACTTATCATGGTTAATGAGAGGTTTCCAGGATTGTGAAATGTTTGTGGTTTTGCAATCACAGACTCTGTACAAATTATTGGCAACTGAGAGTCCTCAGTGTTGTAAGCCAGTCATCCTCATTTCCGGTAAGATTTACACAAGTGGTCAACATGAAAAGATTTTTCGAAAGGACTAAATATGCACTGACATTTCTGACATTTCAAAAACAAATTATGTCATTTAGTTCTTACTCCATTGTAATGGAAGGAATAATGGTGAGTCCAAGGAACAAAGATGAATGAATGACTTCTATTTTCTTCTTAGTTTTGGCCATTTATTTTCTTACTACTAGACATCTGACACCTTGAAGTAGAGGAGCCTCTCTTTCATCTCTTTTTGCAGCAACCCAGACATGTTAGAGGTCTCTTGCTCAGAATTATAATATATTCCTCTTAGGAAATGGAACTTTACACAATATTTGGCTAATGAAAACCCACTCCAGAGTTTTCGAATTACATAATGTTGGAATTTATACATTGTGTAAAAAAAGACACTAACACTAAGAGACTGTGGATTCACTTTCCTAAAGTCTAGTTAGTGGGTCACCCTGGAATACAACCTATGTCTTTTGATACTTAGGTGGTTTATTTGGAAGAGATGCAATTCCACTGCTGGCCTCCTGTCATTCCTCCTGATTTCTTCTACTGACTAATCTACTTCAATCTGCTTTGAAGCAGGACAATCCTGGTCTCTTCACCTCACCCAGCTGCTAGTCAATAGAGCAAGTGTTTTAAAAATGGGTGTATATCTTGATAGGATGTGATAAGAAGGGCACTTCACCTTTGTGGTGTTCTTTCCAAAACTCCCTAATTAATACAGGTTCTATCATGAAAAAAATCATCAGACAAACTCAGATCTGGAGACATTCTCCAGGATACCTGATCAGTACTACTCAAGGAAAACAAAGAAAGCTTCTTGGCAAAGATGAGAGCATCTTGGTGAGATAGGACAACTAAATATAG